CGAAAGTGGCTTTAGCTTCTCAGTGCTGTGCTTTAACCCGCTGCGCCACCAGGGAGGGCCAGTACCTGTATGTTTTTAAAACCACTCCAAAAACTACAATCGAGTGAAGCCTGGACATCAGCTTCTTCGTGGGGCTTCAGGCTTTCTCACTAAAGACAGGGACAAAGCAGAACGTTCCATTCTGCGGAGGACTATTGAACAAGGTGGAATTTACCAGTACACACACCTAGAGGCAACAGGAAGTGGAAAGGAAGGAGTAAATTACGTCCGTTTACAGATACAGCTACAGGTAAGATGCCTGGAAGCCCCAGAAGAATTAATAGGAACTACTATAAACATTTTTTTTGAAGTTTAATGAAGTAGCAGGTTAAAATACCAACATTCAAAAATCAATACCTCTATCCATACAAAAACCTAATACAAGTTAAATGTAAGATGACCTATTAAGAGAGAGCAAAACATAAAATATAATCAAATACCTAGGCAGAAGCTGTGAGAAATGCCTAAAAATTTAAGGAAAATTATAAAGTACTCCTAAAAGATTTTAAAGTAGACTTAAATGGACAGAGTCAATATTTTGGGATAGGAAGACTCAAGAACATTTAATCCCTCTTCATTTATTGTAAAAATTTGAGGCAACCAAACAATGCCATAGTTATTTTTATGGATTTGAATAAATTGATGAGAAAGTTTATTTGGGGTGAGGAGCCAGGAAATCTCTGGGGGAAAAAAGCACCAAAGACGTGTTAGCTATGAAGACATATCACAAGATCTCCAGTTTATAAAATGTGATCTTGACACACGAATAAACAGCAGGTCAAGGGCGCAGACAAGCAAACCCCAAAGACATGAGGAAACTCAGTATATGACAAAGGTACTCAGTATATGACGGAGGGAAAAACAGACTTTCTAATAATCAGCTTGAGAACCATACGGAGGACAATAAAATTGTATTCTTTCCTCACACCATACACCTGAATAACTTCCAAGTGACTCAGAGATTTCAATGCAAAAGTGAAACCACAAAGGATTAAAAGAAAGCATGAGCCCAGGCTCTGAAGTATTAGATGGGAAATATTTCCCAATGATGACTCAAAACTCAGAAGCAATAAGGGAGGGAGTGAAAAATTTAACAGCATAGAAATGTTAATTTGGCAAAAATAAAAACATGAGCAAGGTAAAAAGAGAAATGACAAACTAGAAAAATGTTTGCTATTTCTGAAACAAAAGGTTGCTATCTCTATATAATGTATTTGTGATTTAAAAAGACTTCAGAAATAAAGGCCAGTCACTTTAAAGGAAAAATAATCTAGAGACAGGAGCAGTTCGCAGAGAATCCATACTTTCCAACAGCCCTTAAGTATATTTTAAAAATGCTCACTCTAACTCACAATGCAAACAATGCAAATTAAAATTCTATCAAGATTGTATTTGTTTCTTTTCAGATTGCTAACCACTCAATTTGTCAGCATGCATGGCTGTGGGGAAGTCAGTCACTTCTGAGTATTGTGGGTGGGAATGCAAAATGTTTCAAAGCCTATAGAGGAGAATTTCATGCACTCTAACAAAATTACATGTGCATTTACACTTTGACCCAGCAATCCTACATTTAGGAATCTATCCCAAAGATATACCAACAAAAATTGGAAAGACATTACGCATGAACTATAAACAGTAAGTGTGGAGATAACTTACATGTTCAGTAGGAGAAGCCTAATTAAATAAACACTGATAGAATACAAAATAGCTGGTGAAAAAAGAATCTCTCCACATACTGCTATGGAATGGTCTCAGCCATGGAGAAAATGTATATAACCTAAAAAGAGCTAATGTAAATCTATTTTCATAATTACTTTCACATATATAAACACACATATGATATGTGTATAGCTATACACACACACACACACACACACACTTAACATATTTTAATAGAATAATAAGTAAACAAACCCAAAAATACCTATAGAAGAAGTGCAGGAACTAGGAATGGGGACAGACAGACTGCTGAATGGCCTTGTTTTGTATCTTTACCATACACTCTGGTACTACATTAATGCTTTATATCATTGTAAACCAAAAATAACAGTTAACAAATGTTGCTGAGGATGTGGAGAAAAGGGAGCCCTGTGTATTATCGATGGAACGTCAGTTGGAGCGCCCGCTATGGAAAACGCTATGGGGGATGGTCCAGAAGTTGAAGATAGAATAGGACCCAGCAGCCTCACATCTGCTCAAGAGCCAAAGGACCTGGAATTAGAGTGCTGAAGGGCAACCTGCATTCCAGTCAGCATTATTCATGGCCACCGGCATGTGGAAACAGCCTCCTTGTCTATCAACAGATGAATGGACAAAGAAGACATAATACATATTAAGATATTATTTAGCCATGAGAGAGAAGGAAATCCTGCCATTCTCAACAGCACAGACAGGCCCAAAGGCATTCTGTTAAGTGAAATAAACCAGGTGGAACAAGACAAATACTGCATATATCTCTTTTATGTGGAATCTAAATTAAACACAAGAGAAAAGTCAAACAGGGCCCTCCCTGGTGGCGCAACGGGTTAAATCACAGCACTGTAAAGTTACTGCAGCCACTGCAGCGCGAGTTCGATCCCCAAACCCCCGGCCCCAGAGGTGACCACATGGCGCAGCAGACCTCTCCTGACCCGCTCACTGCTCCCCTCAGCAGTGGACTTCGTCAGTCTGCCTGTTCTGCTCCCTGCTCTGTTTCTGGTGAAGTCTCTCACTGCCCTGCACCTCTGGCCTGTACCCCAGTTCTGCATGCATGAATAAATAAATCTTAAAAAGAGAAAAGTCAAACAGTTAGAAACAAAGTAGGAGCCGCTAGCAGGCTGCAAGGAGTGGGGACACAGGAGAGACGGGGGAAGGGACAGAAACTACAGTTAGAGATGAGGTTTGGGGATCTGGTGTAAAAGACGGAACCTGTCGTTGATAACACCGTGTGATTGAAATTAGCTGAGAGAGCACAATACAAATGTTCTCGCCCCCAAAAAAGATAAATGTGCCAGGTGATGGGAGTGTTACCTACTTGATGGAGGGACTCCTTTGACAGGTGTATATTACAGGACGTGTATCAAATCACCACGATGTACACTTTAAATACCTTATCATTCTACCTGTCACCTAGGCATCAACAAAGCTGAACTTTGAAAATTTTTTCAAAAGCAAGTAGTGACAACCCCCCCCCCCATGTCTTTGCCTTCACGAAGGCACCCCCCTCCCCCCATGTCTTTGAGATGTGAGAAGCAGCAGTTACACACCAGCTACTAGATTTTCCCGTCATCTCAGGCGAGACTGGCAAGTCTCCTCCGTGCCTGGGAGGCTGTAGCAGTATCTGCTCCTCCTCTCAGGTCAGTGATAAGGAAAATCTGTGAGAAGGGCGGGAAAACCTGAGTGCTGAGCGTGCTGGCCGGGCACTTCAAAATTACTTCAGGCGCGAGAGGAAATCCCTTTCTGAGTTCCTCTGTCCAAAACCAGCTACCTAGAAGCCAAGGGAGTAAGCGCAGAGCTGGATCTGAAAAACAGATAGAGCTCAGGGCCCCATTAACAAGGCCGAGTGCTGCCCCGGGCAGCCAGGCCATCCCTGGTCAGCAGATGGGACGCTCACGGCGGATGGAGATGGCGGCTGGGGGTGCTGATGGTGAGCCTGAGGCGTGTGCAACTGCTGAGAAGCCAGCCTGCCTCTCCCCTCAGTAAGAGGGGGCCCCGCTCTCGCAGAGCTCAGCAAGCCCTAGGGGTCTTCCCGACGGCACCCCATCGCCCCGCACTGCCGCGTGCTGACAGCTGCCCGCTGCCCGCAGGGAGTCTGCGCCGCTGGCCGACGTGGCCTTCCTGGGCACCCGGGCCGGCCTGCTCAGGAGCAGCTTGTTTGTGGGCTCCGAGAAGGTCTCCGACAGGTGAGTGTGAGCGCTCCGGTGTCCGGTGGCATGTGGAGGGGTCGGGGGGACAGAGACTAGGACGGGGCTGGGGGCAGGGGTGGGCTCTAAGGATGGGGAGAGTGGGGACACCAATCCTCGCCCCTGGCCTTCACTCCTGCACCCCTGGAGGCATCCTGAGGAGCAGGCGCAGGAGCAGCTCAGACCTGGCAGCCAGAGCTGGGATCAGACTCACTTGCCCGGAGGGAAACTGGAAAACTGGAAGCTGCCCCTCCAGGGTAGCAGTCTCTGTGCCCAGGCGAAGTCCTCTGTGTCCCCTTCTCTGTCAACACTTTCCCCATCCTCCAAGCTGGCAGTTGCTTATGGGGGGCCGTGTTGCCCCCACCCCAGGGACCGATGACAGTGTCTGGAGACCTTTTGGATTGTCACAACAAAGGGGGAGTTCTGCTGTGACATAAGCTTGGGGACCAGGGGTGCTGACAAAGCCTGCACACAGGATAGGCCCCAGAATAGCTGACCTTGAGAAGTCCTGCTCAAGAAAGGCCGCTGGGGGGTGGTGCCGGGGGGGGGGTGTTGGGGGGGGGTGTGGAGTAGGGATCGGAGGCCCAGGTTCTGCAAAGGGAAGGTGGGTGGAGGTGGGGGACAGGCAGCGCCTTCCCAGATCTGCAAACTCGGGGCTCAGCTAGGCAGGCCAGCTGGCGGCTGGAGGGGAACGGCCCAGGGCTGCTGGCGGGACCAGACCCACCTCTCTGTGCTCGCCTGCTCGCTGCCGCTTATCTGAGCACACTCAGCCAGAAGCATCATCTTTGAATTCTTGCAGGACTCTGACAGGCCTGCTCTTGCTAGCAAGCTGGAAATTAAGTTGCTCGACTCCCTTCACTCCCTGGGTGGGCAGCGCAGAGAGCCCACTGCCTCCTAACCACCCCTTCCCATCGCCCATGAGAGGCGAGCAAATGACTCAGATGGAACCCAGCCAGGACGTAAATTGGATCGACCTCAAGACCCTGAACAGTGTGGGGAACTTTCCTCTCCGAGCTCGCCACCTCCTCATGCTTTCTCATCCCCCTCAGGAAATCCACCCCCCATCAGAAAGGCAAACACAGCTGTGGTTGAACGGGGTGAGCCACACCTGCTGTGCAGAGGGGGCGAGAGTGTTCCTGGTGTCCCCCTCACCCCACTCCACCCCCACAGCTTCTCCAGAAGGCCTGAGAAGGGAAGAGGGAACTCTTGACGAGAGGGAACGTCCCACAGCGTGACCACACATGGCCACACGGCTCTGCCTGCGTCCAGAGGACCCAGGCCGGGGCCCCAGACACGAGCAGCCCTCCTGGGCACCAGGCCAAGCGCTCAAAACCAAACCCCAGTTATCTACCTTGTGAGTTACCCACAGTCACTTTTTTAATCCCCATCAGCTTCTCCCCACCTCCCACTCTGCTTCTGACCGACAGTCCCTTCTGTCGGCTGCTGTGTGCTCAGGGAATGCAAAACCATAATTAGCAAGGTAACGCGCTCAAAATAAGAAAAGTCGCAGTGCGCTCTGAAGCCACAGGCAGTGATTTTTAAAGGACCCTTCTCCGGGAACTCTCTGCCCCTCCGTTAGTGCGATGGTCAGTTGACTAGATAGTTTTCTCGCTCAGCCGCACGAATGAGCCAGATAAATACAAATGAGGCTGCATCTGGAAGATACAGACCCTGAAGTCAAAAGCATTTACACACACACGCCATGGAAGTTACTCTCTCCTAAGGCCGGTCCTGTACCTCCTCCAGCAACGTTAGTCAGCAGAATTATCAGGGAAATTGGGGCGCGATCAGCTTAGGGGCTTAGCTTTCCCAAAGCAGGAGACTCACGCCTGCAGGAAAAAGAAATCAGAGCTGACTGTTCCCACTTTGAGGTGATACCAGGCCTTGCTTGCTCCCCACAGGCGGTTCCTGACCCCAGAGGACGACGCCAGCGCGTTCACCCTGGACCACTTCCCTCTGTGGTACCGCCAGGCGTCCGAACAACCAGCTGGCACCTTTGTCTACAATCTCCACTCTGCAGAGGAACCAGGTAACCCCCACCCGGGTGTTCCTCATGTGCTTTCTCAGAGGGAGACAGGAACCAGGTCCAGACCAGGGTGGCCGCTGGGAGACAGGAACGGGCCTGGGGCAGAGATCCAGTCACACGGTGGCCACTGAGGTCCAGACACAGTAGCCACTCCCTCGCCCGCCACCGCTGGGCTTGCTCCATGATGCTGACCCTCCAGCCAGCAGTCACAGTGCTGTCTGTAGTTTGGGATAAAGAAGCAATTTGACCCACAAATCTGAAGAACTGGATTCCAGCTAACATCCCGAATGTGAGGATATTGCAATCATCGATCCTGATACATCAGTGATCATCTATTTCTAAAAATCTGAGTGTCTTTGAAAGTTCTTTAGACCGCCCCTTGAGAGAGACAGACTTTATCCCAGGGCAATTTGCCTACAGACTCCCTGCTCCACTGACTCTACCCAAGCAAGGCAGCATCTGGCACCCATTCCCCTGGGGTCACCCGGGAGCAGCACCCCAAGCCCCAGCCTGCTGCTTGGGAAGTCAGGTGATTGCGAGACCCTTCCCGACTGCAGGCCGCTGGGCCCTGAGAGGATGTGGGCAGGGCAGTAGGGACACCCCTCGGCAAGGCCAAGCCAGCTCGTCTCTTCTAGGCCGAGGAGCAGGAAGGGTCTCAGAGCTTCAGTGACTGACTCCCACCCTCAGCTTCCACTCTGAAAAATGGCCCCCGAAAGAAAAATGAAGTGATTTTCACAGAGCGTGATGAAGATGGCATAGTGTTAGACAGCAAGTGACCTTGGGAGGTGCCCTGCCTCGCCCTCCTGGGTAACCTGGAGAGACCACGGCCAGAGAGCTGAGGGACGCCCCGGACCTGAGTGTCTGTGGCCCCAACTGGCTGACCTGTGCGAGAGCTTGACTCCAGCCCAGTGGAAGGAGAGCCCAGAAATGTCCACAACCAGGTGGGAGTGAGGCAGAGGGCAAGGTCAGAGGACAGTGGAGGCACCTGATGGGGTGGGTGCCTGGGAGGAAGCACAGGATAAGGTGCTGTGCTTCCTCATCCACCAACGTCCTTCCAGCCACCCCCTCCACTCACACAGTCCTCAGGCATCATGATAGAGAAGCGCCCCGAGCTGGCAGCTGGGAGCTGGGGAAGTTCAGCATGGGGCTGGGTGAGGGGATGGAAGCCCCAGGGGGCTGCAAGCAGCAAAGCTCCCTCACCCCCTACACCTCTTCTCCTCGTGGGAGGCCCACTCTCCCCTGCCTGTACTCTCTGCCTGGTGCATCCCTGAGTGCTCTACAAACCCTCTTCCACGCAGAGCTTGTCACATATAAACAGTCCCAGAAGGAAGTGTGTTGTCCCTCTTCTGACACCAGCAGGCTCAGAGGCCCAGAGAGGTCCTGCTCCTTGCCCAAGATCACACAGCCAGGAAGGCACAGGCTGTGTGTGTCCCTCGGCTCTCTGGGTCACCTAAGTCTGGATTCTTATTCTTCTATGAGAGGAAAGCAGGAAGGGGGAGGAGGGAGAGTACTGTCCCCCTCACCCCGGAGCCCAGAGGGAGTTCTCAAGGTCAAGGTGATGGGCTGAGGCAGCCCCTCCTCCCAGGACCACCCATGAGCATCGCCCACCAAGGAGGGGCCTCCCGGGGCCCTGGGCAGCTCTGTGGGGTTTGCCCCCCGGCCCTGCCCACAGCTGTGTCTCCCCTCCTGTCCCTATTGTCACCAGGATGTGCCTGCTGGCTGCTGGGGAGCTTTTGTGGCCTACCCATTGAGGTAGGTGGGCAGGTGGGTGGGGAGCTGAGTGCAGGGAGAAGAGAGGGAGCTGGCAACCCCAAGGGGGTGTTGAGCAGGGAGGCAGGAGCTCACTTTCTGCTCACACCCTCGCTCGCTGGGCTGGCTCCTACAGATGCTCAGAGACACGGGGACACCTCTGCACACTCTCACCACCCCCCAGGAAGGAAAACAGCAGTTTCATTTTAATGGGGGTGATGGAGAAACCCTGAGGAGGTGGAGGAGCAGACAGCTGGGGTGAACAGAGGCTCCACTGCCTCTGGCTGACTTCTGCCCTTTGCCTGGGGCTCGTGGGCTGCGTCCTGCCCACAGGAGCTGTCTTTTGCAGCCAGCGCCAGCACAGAACAGGGTTGCCCGGCGGCTGTGGCCTGTTACACCAGCTCCCAGAGCCCCGCTTCCAGCCCTGGAAGAGGAAGCCTGCTCATTCACTCCAGGTGCTGGGCCCGGTGCCTACTAGGTGACCCAGGTGTTGAAATTCCTGATGTCTCCCAAGACTGCATCTTTAGGGTCTCAACACCCTCACTTGGGTGGTTCCTACAAGCTTTTGTGGCAGGAACACAAACACGATGGCAGGCTTGTCCCAGAAAGCAAACTGCAGGCCTGAGAAAACTGCAGGGGGTCTTCCCCTTCCATATCTTCTAGAAACTTCTAGAAGCGAGATAAGGAAGCCAACCTCTGTGTCTGTCACAGTGCCTGTAGCTCAGTCATGGCAAAGTCCTAGAATCAAGACGACATTTTATATACTGTCAGTTCCTAGGACCAGCGTTGAGTTTAGATCTCTGTGAGGTATTTGGCTACAGCAAGGTGTGATGTACAATCTTAGCAAAACAACAGCTAGAGAGACCAGCAGTCCATGTAAATTCCCTTACAACTGGCATGCAATATCATTGTTTCCACTCAGGTTTCTCTTGACCTGTTTGTTGCAAGCCATATTTGATCCAAAGACATTCTAACACAGTGGCACATGATAAAATTCCATCCCTTGGAATTTTTGCCAGTCAAATTTGGCCGTGGGCAAAAGCATTGTAAAAAGCCAACGCAGGGCCATGAACTGATGAAAGTGTAGGCGCCGAGGTCAGAGACCAGCCTACACCACCTCAGAGTCACAAAGCTCTGTCTAAACATAGAAGTGAAAACTGCCACTGAATTATGCACCTGGGGGCCTGCTTCTGTGAAAGGTGGAAAAGCGAACTCACTGGGGCCCCGTGGGGCCTGCACAGCCCTGGCGGCCTGCTGCCAAGCGCAGCAAGCACAGGACATGGGCCCGGCAGGGGTGGGGGTGGGCGGTAGGTGGGCTGTCGCCAGTGGCCAGGATTTATGGAGTGCCACGGTGCCAGATGCCAGCCGCCTGCAAGCCAACACAGCCCTGGCATCTGGCTCCCTGAAGGGACCATCAGGGTCACCCGCCTCGTGACTAATGAAGGACAATCCAGGATCAGCCACCGCTGAGTCCTGGAGCACAGCCTGTCCCTCCTCTTGAAGGGGTAATAGGATGCCACGCAAGTCCTTGGTGGGGTACGTGACAGAGGACAGGGCAGCGGGGTCCCTGGGCTCAAGGGAGGCAGCAGGGAGCAGCATGTCTGCTCCCCGGGACAGAGGAAAGTCACAGTGTCCTAGTGACTGGAGCGCCACAATGCCCAGGTGGCCAGAGGCCAGGTTTGTCTGGCAGGTTTGAATCTCCCAGAGCCATGGGCAGCGCCTGACGCTTAGGAGGGGCCCTGCAGAGCCCCGTGGTTGATGCTAACAGAGTCACCCCAAGATGGTGTCCACCAGCCTATTCAGGGCCCACCTAGCCTGCTCTTTGTACTTGTCTTCTCAGCCTCCCCCGAACACTGGTGCCGAGAAAGTGACTAGGCAATTTTTGTTTCTCCGGAAGGTCTGGGGGAGCCCACGGTCGTGACAGCAAGCACAGCGGTGGCCGTGACAGTGGATGAGAAGACAGCCGTCGCCGCAGGTAGGGGCCGCAGCTGGTGTGCTGAAGCCAGCACACTGTCAGCCAGTGTCAGAAACAAGTCACACGGCCAAAGCAGGAGGCCCTGAGTCGGACTACAGGGCCCACGTCCAGCTGTTTACCCAGGCGCGGCGGGGAAGGAGAAGAGCTCATTTGGTTAGACGGCAGCTTGGTTAGACAGCAGCTTGGTTAGAAGACCTAAGAGCTAAAAGAATCCTTGACCTGGGTAAAGGAAGCCCAGAGAGGTTAAGACATGTGCTCAAGGTCACACAGCCCAGACCACCTTTCCACCCGTGTGTTGCATCCCTCTTCAGTTGGCTTGGGTGCTGGGGTCCCGCTGAAGAGAGAACTGGGCTCGTGGCTCAAGCCCAAAAGCAAGAGCTGAAAACATCTGTTCAGTATGTGCTAGTGATGCTGCCCCCAGCCCCCCACCTCCCCCATCACATTCTCACTGAGCCCTGAGTGATTTGCCCAGTCTTGCAGCTCATTACTGAAACTAGAATTGGAACGGAGGGCTCCTCATTAAGACCCGATTTCACCCCCTTGTGTTGAATTTGCGGCACATGTGATGAGAGCCAGGCCAGACTGAGGAGTTCTCGGAGCCTCTCTCCGGGCCCTGTGTGCCCACCCTGTGGGGGGCTCTACCACCCCCCCATTGCAGCTTCCCGCCTCAGGCCCAGTAGGGTCTCAAAAGCTGTTTGATCCAGTGGGCACTCAAGCCTGAGCCATCAAGGACCCCAGGTCAGTCTGGCCTCCCTGCCCTCCAGGCGGAGGCGGAGCTGGGGTGGGTAGGCAGGGCCTGTGGTCATCTCTCCCCAGGTGGAATTGAGCTCAGAGGGGCTGGGACAAGTGGCGCAAGCAGAAATGCTCTGACTCCGTCTTCTGCCTCAGGGAGGGCACAGGGCTGCTGTCCACCCTGGGGTTATTGGTGTGGCAGAAAGAGGCTGGGTCCCACATGCCTCAGCGCCCCGGTTCGGAAGCCTGGGCCCCTCAGGTGTCGGGAAGCACCTCCACAGCGCGGGCAGGGCCCCTGACACTGGCACTTTCTGGCATCCTTAGTCCACAGTGTGCTCATCTGAGGCCCGTTTCTAGGCCAAGATCTCGCCCCAAACTTGTCTCCCTGGAGAATGTTCTATGCGCCTGTTCAGCCCCCTCTGTGCCACAGGCCTTCCCAGAGCCTGTACATCTGAACGACCGCGAAAGAGGAGAGACCCGGGGTCAGGCTGCTGGCTGTGCTCGCCTGTGCTCTCCAATTATTTGATATCATTTTTAACTCAGAGCGGAATTAGAGCCGTGAGGGGTTGCCATAGAAACCGTGTCCTGGTGCCTCTGGTTTAACTCACTGAAGACAATCGCTCTGATGCTCTGGGGTGCGGCGATGTGACAGGGAAAGGTGCTGCAGACCTTAGGCCTCGATTTGGGGGGAGAGTCTCCTCTTGCGATTATTTCTTCCTGGCTGATGGCTCAGCCTCTCTGGTCCTGGGGCAGGTGAGGCCACGGCCCAAGGAGGCTTGTTTGCTGTCCTGGAATCTCACCCCTTGGAAACTTGCGGCGCCATGTGCATGACGGCTGGTGGGCAGCGTGTGTGATGCTGGTGCACTGAGCAAGAGAGGCGGAAGAGGAAGGCCCCCCAGTCGGTTGCAGGAGCCAGCTACATGCCCGGCGGGACGTGTGGGTGGGACGGCAGGAGTGAATGGATGAGGAGGGTGCGTGGCTATCTCTGGGCAGATGATTTGCAAACTGTTGATGTAAAGTTTCTCGACAGCCAACTTTTCGAGGCTCCGCTCCCTGCCCTCAGACCATGTGCATCAAGTGAAGGGTGTTTCCCTGTGTCACCCAGAATTGCGCCAGCTCATGAGACCCCGTGCCCACCTCTGCAGATGGGCTTGGGCAAGTGGTATCTCAAGTCCCCTGTCACTGTTTGGGCCACAGGGCTGCAGCCCCCCTGCCCAGGAAAGCTGGACCACCCAGTTCTGCCCGGAGTTCACTCAGCTCCAGGAAGGGGAGCTTGATGGCTCCTTTCTCCTGGGGCTTGCTCCTGGCTTATTGGGTTATTAGCCAACAGAAGACTCCAGGGAAGCAGAAAATTCCACCTTGTTCTCTGAAGACTTAACAGTCAGCAAGCAGCTAGCACAGCCCTGGAGGTGGGTTAGCAGGCGTGGGTGGACAGTCTCCCCCACAGGCCTCTCTCGCTGTGCTGCTCATCTCCTCTCCTGCCCTCAGCCCCCACCGGGAAGCCCTGTGTAATTCTGATGCCCACCTGCAGGGCCCTAGGTAGGGATCATATTTGTAAGTCCAGGGTGCCAGTCCCTAAAGTCATCTTGAAACTACAGGGCGGCAACAAGTTATTCGGATTCCTCTGTGTCCCCAAATCCTGCAGAACTCAGCGAAGCTGGTAAAGCCTAGCCTGTAGATCCTCACGCTGTCTTGAGCTACAGGGGCACCCCCGGGCCCTGCCCAGCCAGAGCACCAACCCTCGACTGCCAGGCCCATGAGCTCCTGCCAGGCCCAAGCAGTGCCGCTCTCCAGATCACCTGCTTTACCCCGCCGTGTGCCGCCCCAAGAAACATCCACCCCACAGGCCAGTGCGTGGGGAGTTGGCTGCCGCCACAGACCCGCAGGCCTCCGCCCTCCCCCACCCCACTGGGCAAGTCCTCTGTTCACCTCTCTTCTGTCTTCCGGAGCTCTGGGCTCAGGGGGGCATCCCACAGCACTTTGGCAGCTGCCCAGGGAGATGAGGTGGCAGGAAGGGACTGTAGTGCCCACATTCCCTCCCTGCCCAAGGAAACCAGGAAATACATAGGAAAATACAGTCTTTATTGGTCTTCTGAAACAACAAACCAGAAATATAATTTTGCCTTTAAAAATCTCCTGTCTCAGGCTGCTGAAGGTGTCACCATGGACAAGGCCCTCCCCTACCCCATTCCCTTAGAAAATCCCCAGGCCTGGTATCAGCCCTCAAGTCAGAAGTCTGTGCCCCAGCCTTGGGGAGGAAGACAGCGCTGGGGTGTGTCCGCAGCCTGTGCGGTGAGGGGGCCCTCCATCCTCCCTGCGGGAGCACCTCCTCACTGTTCACCTCCTCTGTGAGGTGGAAGGGTTGAGGGGTGCAAGGTGAGGGGCGGGACCTGCCCTGTTCCTCTGCAAACCCTGTTCTCATGTTCTGGGTCATCTTCGAGCCAGAAACCAGCCCATGGCCTCCTGGCCCTCTGTGAGCCGTGGGGAGGCCGACTTCCAGCAGAGGGAGGCCTAGTGTTCACAGACATCAGACTCACAAGGAGAGGCAGACCTAGAAATGAAGCTAGTGATTCCTAAAGCCCCTACAGCCTCTTCTCACCTGCCGCCCCGCCGGTGAGCCCTGGCATCAGGCACCCCTGTCCCTTGGGTGTACGTCACAGACAGAGAACTTCTGGCCCATGCTTGGGTTCGGACCCAGGCCAGGTGCAATTGAAAGTTCAGACTGAGCAGACACACCCTGGAAGAGGAAACCAGTCACCAGAGCTTCTGAGCAGAATGTGGCCCGTCCTCCCTGCTCGGGGTTGGCGGGTTATGTTGGCAGGAGGGAGCTCCGAGGAGGCCCCCAGACTCTGCACTGCGACTTGCTTTCCCCAAAGGAAGGTGCTGACCCAGCACCTTCCCCCCCCCGACCCCAGGCCTGGAGGTGCTGAAGATGGAGGGGTGCGCACACAGAACACAGTTCCCGGGCTGCAGGCTGCAGGAGAGAATGGGTGTGTGTCCCCACGGGCCTGGCAGTGATGGCATATTTAGGCAGCCCAGGGGCATGTGGCTGGGCTCTCAGGAGACCGCCATTCACACATGCCGCAGCCTCAAGGCCGCCGGGCCGGGGCCGTGTCCCCGGCAAACCCAGCAGGTTAGGTGTGAGAGGGTTACCATGGTGACGGCAGTCTCATCCTGCAGCACCACTTTGGCCCACTTTAGAGGATCTCAAAGGAATCCTTGTGGTATTAGTTTGGGCTTCTCCCCCCTGTTGACTTGAGAAGATTCCAGTAAGCAAGTAAAAGGTTCTGTGGTCTGAGGGCTGGAGATTCAAGGGGAGACGTGTCTGTTCCCAAGTTGCCATGACCTGTCTCTGTGTGGTGCTGTGTGCGTGTGGGTGCGAGCACGTGTGACTTTCCAATCAGTGGATGGTGCTGGTGATGCTCTGAGCTTGTGAGAGCGAGTTAGTGAGCCCAGGAGCAGGGTGGCAGGTGGCCTAGAGTAGATACAGGGGCAGGCTGGCCTCAGCCACGGAGCGCGATCATCACACGTTGTATAGGTGCTAACTCCAGATGACGGCGTGGTGTGATTGCATGTTAGTACCAGCGGTTGAAAGCTGAACCCAGCTTCCACCCGAAAGGAATTTAAGGATTTCTTCCTGGCTCAGAAGAGTCCCAGCAACAACCCCCACCCCGAACCCCACGTCCCTTCCTCCTCCCACGCCGTAAAGGCAGATGAGGAGGGGATGAGCAAGAGGAAGGGAGGGTCACCCAGATGTGCAACATCAGGCAGGGACCAAGGGAACTGCCCGTCCAGGAACCTCCACTTGCACACACATCCTTTCTTCCCTATGACCAGAGGGCTGGGGGACCCCCCAAATGTTGCAAAAATGTCATGACCCAGAAAGGGGCAGCAGCAGCATAGTGGAGGCTTTCGAGGAGACGTGGGAGTTCATGGAGGAGGCTGCTCTGTGGCTTGCTTGCAGGAGGGCTGCAGAGGAAGTGGAATTGGGGGGCTGTGGTTGGGGCGGGGCCAGCCTTGTTGAAACCACCCCTTCCCTGCTCACCCTGCCCTTCCTACCTGGGCCCCAGAGCTGGGCTTTCATGCTACCGAGGAGATCTGCTTCTGCTCTTCGTGCTCCCCCTCAGGGTCCCCCATCAGGGGCTGGCGCTTCTTGAGCTCCCGGTGGTACTTGGCCATGAGCGAGGCATAAATGCAGCCGTAGGCAGCGGCTACCACCATCATGATGCAGACGATGCCGCAGACCACCCCCGCGATGATGACTGTGCCGATGGCCCGCCGCACGCTCACCGGCCGGTAGCGCTGCTTCTGCGGGCAGGCTGTGCTGGGCTCCGGCTCGGGCTCGGCCCCCGGCTTAGGCTTAGCAGGTTCCGGGCTGGCCTTGGTGCAGGGTGGCCCGGGAATATCCAGCCCAGCTGAGCTATCCTCCTCCTCCAGCTGGGAGCAGTAGTTGAACATCTCCATGGGGACCACACGCATGTCCTTCCCCCTCAGCTCCTTGGGTAGGGTGCAGGCAAGCTGGTCCAGGCGGCCCCCTACATCGGGGGAGAAAAAGGAGGGACTGAGCAGGCATCCAAAACCTGAACTCCCTCCCCATCCCCAGGATGCCAACAGCAAGGGCCAGAACGACTAGCTTCTAACAGCAATGCAGTCCTGGAATCCCAGCTGTAGGAAGAGATAGAAAGAGGGAAAGTAGAATTTATGGACCCAAGCGCCCAGGGAGAAGAGATCCACAGACAAGGCCATCTCATCTACCAGAACCCCGTAAAGGGAATATGGTCACTATTCCCATTGCGTAGAGGAGCACATGACCACCCCAGCTAAGCCTGCCTTCTCCAGAGTCCCTCTGCTCTGGGGGGAGCAGTGACAGCAGGTGCGCCCACTCGGGAAGGGGCGTGCAGAGAGCCCTGAGGACTGGCCGGACTCCAGTCCTGCTCTCTTCCTCAAAGCCTGTCTGTAACAGGCCTGTCTATAAACAGGGCACTGTTCTCACCTCAGGGCTCTCCCCTCTCGCAGAAAGACAGAAATCACTCCTCCCTGCAGGACCTCTGGTGCCGTAAGAGCACCTTCAGGGGTCAGGGAGAATAAGTCGGCAGGAATGTGTCCCTGTTCCTCTTTAGGAAGAACCCCAGTGACCCCATCAGCGCCCCAACCACAGCATGCAGAGGCATCTTGGGAGGGAATCCTGAAGCCCCATGAGGCATCGAGAAGGGGGCCAGAGCAAATGAGGGGTGTGGGCAGCGGTGGTGAAGCCAGATTTGACTGTGAAGAGATGTAGATATGAGCTCAGCGTGGGAGGGGGTGGAGATAGCTAAGGAAATGGAGCTGCCTGGTCGTCCGCTGGGAAGCGAAAGTGCAGCCTTCAGTGAAACCTAAATGCAGCCCAAGCCCCCCGGGCCGTGAACTTGGGCTCCAGCCACTTTCTGCCAATTCCCTCTCCCATGCCAGCTGCCTCAAATCTGCTCAAACAATAGCCCTCAGTCTCTTCCCAGGATGCTGATGAAACATCTTGGAAATTTTTTTTAAGGAATGCAAGGCTGAAAACAACTCTATTCTTGAAAAGCTCCAAAACCCTACATGCCTCGCAAAGGTCCTTTCACTCCTGGTGACTGTGTGAAAGAACAAGGACGTTTTCTAACACCAATCTGGATCTGTAGGCAATCGGCTCGTAGGCCCCCCGAGTTCTGGGCACCCGTGACCCACAGCAAATCTTACACCCAGTGACATGTCCAGGGACAACTCTGTGCCCACCAGACCTGGGTGTGCAGATGCCGGCAAAGTCTTCCTGCTCCAGAAATCTGAGGTTGAGTCCTGCCTATGTTACCTTGTGCAAATTGTTTGACTTATTTAATTACTTAGGAGTCTTAGCTTTCTTAGGTATCAAATAAGGGCTATCTCCATTAGCTGCAATGAGGATTAAAATAGATAAGGTACTTGAAACAATAGTTGTAAACTGGAACTCTACAAGTATTAATTATTATTTCCCTACTCACGAGAATAGGAGAAATTATCAGTGACTCATGTTTTATGGCACTTTATAGTTTATAAAATCTTCACTAACACATGAGAATATCATGCAGATAACTGAGATGGGGACTAGATACAAAATGAAAGGAGGTAGATTAATAAAAGCATTAGCATTATTTCCACAGAGCTTGGATGATTCACTCATTCAGAAGACATTCATTGAGCATCCATTTCAAGCCGGGCACCAAACTATCTCAGTAAGCCCACTTAGCATGTGACTGCTCCTGGCAAGCGAACAAGTCAGTTTTATTGAGGGTGTCCTGGATGCTGAGCGCTTTTCAAGACACTGTCCATGCATTACTAGTTAATCCTCATAATGGTCCTATGAGATCAATATTCTTGTTTGCAGAGAGAAGGAGGGCCTCGCACAAAGAAGTCAGTCAACTTTCTCACGCCCACACAGCTATAAGGGGCAGAGCCACGAGTCAGACCCACATCTGGCATTTCCAACCACTCTATCCTGCTGCTTTGCCTCCTTTTCTACCTCATGGGCTGTGACAGAATTTGCCTGGTTAAGAAATAGGATGGAAAGAGGGGTGGAGGGGGGGAAAGAAACAGGATGGAGTTGGGGGAGACGGTAAAACTAAAACTGTTTGGCTTCTTTCTGAAAGTTTTTTTAAGATTTATTTATTTATGCATACAGAACCGGGGTACAGGCCAGAGGTGCAGGAGTGGTGAGAGGATTCACCAGAGACAGAGTGGGGAGCAGAACAGGCAGATGGACTGAAATGCAGTGCTGAGGGGAGCAGCGGGCGGGTCAGGAGAGGTCTGCTGCGCCACGTGGGTCTGCCCCCTGGCTGGGGATCGAACTTGTGCTAAAGTAGCTGCGAACAGCTTCACAGTGCTGCGTTTTAACCGATCACACCACCAGGGGCCCTTGTTAAAAGTTTTAATAACAAAGTCTCTTGGGAAAGGACGTTGGGATCATCATCAAAATGAGTAATTGGTTCTACCCGTGGATTTAAACCATATTCCAAGTCCTTTGTGTGTGAGGAGAATTGCAGTATTAATCAGGAGGGTGGTTTTTCTTCCCACTTCTAGTGCTGAAGGTTGCCCAAGAGCATGCAAGGTGGGGTGCACAGAAAATTGTGCTGTCTTTGAGTTTCCCCATGAACCGTCTTTGAGTTTCCCCATGAACCCTACCGAAGTGAGATCCAGTTACATGAGTCAGTCTGAAAGAGGAAGGGAAAAGAGGTGGGGAGCAGGCATGAAGACATAGAGGTTTTAGGGGAGCAGTCAGGGAGGAGGAAGAGTAGCACCCCACCACTGATCCTTTGGAGGCAGGACTGCTGGAGGGGAAGGGCGCCCCGTCTCCCCCCTGACCTCAGCCCTGAGTCAGCACCCAGCCTCCAGGACACTGTTGGAGCAGAGTGACCCTCCCACTTCCTCAGGCCCTGGCGGGCTGGGGTGCTCACCTCGGTAGGAGAACCACTCCATCCAGTGCTTGAACTCACGCAGGTTGCAGTCACACTCCCAGGGATTGTCCCCAACCTGCAGCAGCTGCAGGCTTGCTAGGGGTTCAAATGTCAGCCGGTCCAGGTTCTGCAGGCGGTTAGAACGAAGTGATAGGGAACGCAAGGCTGGAAGTCCATCGAAAAGGCCAGCGGGCAGCTGGGCCAGGCCGTTGATGGACAGGTCCAAGTGGCGCAGCAGCGGTGAGTGCTGCAGTAAGTCCCTGTCCAGGGTCCTGATACTGTTATTGCGCAGCTGTAGCTCCGTCAGGTTCGTCAGATCCCCAAAAATGGAGCTGGGCAGCTGGTCCAGGAAGTTGTTGGATAGGTCCAACCGCTGCAGGCTGGACAGATTGGCGAAAGCCCAGCTTGGCAGGGCAGTCAGCTTATTGTTTAAGAGCAAGAGCGCTCGGGTGGCAGCAGGCAAGTCTGGCGGCACACTGGTGAGGCCTAAGCCACTGCAGTCCACCTCCAGGCTGCGGCTGTCACATTTACAGGAGAAAGGACAGGCAGGGAGGGCCTCCGCAGCATACAGGGTGACCCAGCAGGTTATCCCTGGAGAGTGAGGGGAGGCAGACAGGCAGGAAGAGAATGCCAGGTTACCACCTGCTGCTTCCAGCCCCTTCTTTCTAGTTCATGCCCTAACAGCCTCTTGGCTGGCTTCCCCTCCATTGGCATAGCCACAACCAATGCACAAACATTTATTGACCACATAAAAAGGTAATTAACATATATGAAACACTTCTGTGTTAATGAACATCACCAGCAGGACCCACCGGGCGGAGATCACTTCAGTGGAGAGGGGCAGATTGCACTGACAAGCACTGACCATGGCCTACACAGATGTCCCAGCACACAGGACTCCCTCCCCCAGTGGATCTCCTTGGGCCCCTCTGACATCATGAAGTTGACAAAAGCTACAAGGACATCAGAGAACTTGCGCCCAGCTCCTTTCCCATAGTCAGTCACTGCCAAAAGAAAATGATCACGCGGCTGTCTGCTGCCTCTGAGCCTTCCTCTGCACCAGGCTGAGCCATGCCGGGCACAAAGGGAAAAGAACGCATGGACTTCCAGCCTTGCATTCCTATCACTTCCTTCTAACCTCCTCAGTGCTGTCAGATCTGCATGAGGCCCGAGCCCCACATCCAAGGTGGGACCAGTAACCTAGTGAGGACTGGGAGCCCCGGCCCACAGAGGACCCCACCCTGCAGGCCACTGTGGGCTCACGAGGACAGGATATCCAGCTATTCCCTTTCCACCTTGAGAAAAAGCTGGGCGTGAGCCACGGCAAGGCTTGGGGCCAGGACATGTTCCGCATTTATTCTCATTCTAAAGCCATCCACACCAGGCTGCTTCTCCTGAACATTTCTTTCCTGGCCCCGTGTTCTGCCCTGAAACCCTCTGAGCCGCAAGCACAGGGCCCAGTCTTCAGAAGGGCTGGGAGAAGCAGCCCCCAGAGGACAATTGTAGCAGAGCCGTTCATCCCGCTATCCAGCCGCAACCCTGAGAGTGGCCTCTAAACTCTCCTTAACAGACTCAAAAGCCTGCTCACTGGGAAAGGAGAAAGAAATGAGCACAGACCCGTTCACCCCAGCAAGTCAGCCCATCAGCCTAGAGGACAGCCCCCACTGAAACGCCCACACCAGGCTGGTGCCCGAGGCCCTGTCTGGCGGGGATCTGGGTATCTGATGTCCCCAAGGGCAGAACTTGAAGGAGCAGGATGGGACACCACCCTCCCCCCCACCCCCCCATAATGGAAGATCAGTGACACTGAGACACCTGAACCTTTTGTTCTGGAGGGGAAATGAGCACAAGCATGGCCGGAGCCCAATGAGACCCCAGCCACGAGGGGCCCCTCGCTGCCTCCGTCCCCTCTCACTCCTCTGAGCCACGTACCACCAGGGGGTCCTGGCCCACAGCCCCCTTGCCCCTCCCCCACTTGTGCCATTTGAAATCAACATTCTTCAGATTTCACTTTCCCTATGAAAAAAAAATTCAGGGCCCTCCCTGGCTGCGCAACAGATTAGGTCGCAGCACTGCACGCTGGATCCCCGCCCCGGAGGTGACCACATGGCAAGCAGACCTCTCCTGACCCGCCCGCTGCTCCCCTCAGCAGTGCACTTTGTGGATCTGCCTGTTCTGCTCCCCATACTGTCTCCCGTGACTCCTCACTGCCCCTGGACCTCTGTACCCCAGTCCTGTATGCATATATAAATGAATCTTCAAAAAAAAAATTCAACCCACCCAGTTTCCCTTTCAAACAGCTCGACATAACTAGAAACTGAGAAGAAAGCATTTGCAAGAGGGGAGCCCTCTGCCTCCCTGCCCCTCTCTACCCCCTCCCCTACCCCACTCCTCCCCCCCGAGAAATCAAGGGTGGCATAAAAAGCTCTAGTGACAAGAAAACAGAGTCCTGTATTGCAAGGTGCTGAGTGATTCTAGAATGAGGTTGAAAGAGGATCTGAGTGGCTCTGGGATCAGCCCCTCTCTTGTGGTGAATAATTCAGGCTGCTGATGTGGGGCAGCAGCGAGTTGAGCTGACACACAGGGGAGAGCCAGGCAGGTCTGTGTCCCCCAGACTCTTTCTTGCCTTACTCATAGCCTTAGGCAAACCCTTCCTCTTTGACTTCATCCCTTTATCTCAAATAAAGAGAACCCTGGGGACTGCTTTCACCTGGCCATGTCCAAAGGAGGCCTCCGTTTCCCCACAAGCAAAGGGATGGCTTGGGTCTGGTTGCTAAGGTCCCTTCCAGCAATGCATCCAGGAGTCCCTAGTTCCCTGCATTTCAAGGCTGAGAAAAGGGAAAGAGGATATCTCCACGGTCCCCCAATGGTGCTGGGGGTAGAACGGGAAGGCAGCTCCTTCTCAGAGCAGCAGGCTGAGTCGAGGGGTGTGCTGGGGTGGGCATGCAAGCGGAGGCTGCCTGCGGAGGCAGACACCTGCCGCGGCCTGCATGTACCACTGACGTCTCAGCAGTGGCTTTCTCCGGCTCCCTGGATGACTCCCGAGGACTAGGGTAAGCCCTGGTTCGTGCCACCCAGGCTGTGGGCATCCAGAATACACCCCAGACCACCCTGCAGCCCAGAGTGCAACCTGCAGACCAGCACCCCCCCCCCCACCGCCAGCCCCTTACTCACAGGAGATCTGTCTCCACTGCAGGGCGAACCTGGCCCTCTGCTCGGGGCTGCTTCCCGGGGCCAGCATGCTGACTGCGTGCCTCCCAGGGCCCTGCACCTCTGTGCTCCCTGTCAGTCCTGGGGGAGAGAGAGAGAGCTGAGGCAAAGCCAGCATTCGAGGTCCGTTCCAGCCCAGGGGTCAGGGAGAGGACCCGGTGTCTCTTTACACTCAGCATCTTTCCCTCTCCAGTTCTCTGATTCCCTGGGGCAGGGGTGAGAAGAAGGATGAGGGACAGACAGGCCAGGAAACCTCAGTCTCCCATGGGGGATTGGAGGCAGCATGGAGGGGCCATCGCGCTTTCTTGGCAGCCCTCAAGCTTGGGGAGCAGGCCCAAGCTCTGTGCTGTGGGGCGCAGGGAGCCCCTGAAGTGACCTCTCCAGCGTCCCCATCCCCGCTGGCCTCTCCTGGCCCCGCCCCCTT